ATGTGACAAAATGTTAGTGCTTTGGACAAAGACAAGAGCAGACATATGGACACATTTCACATTTGATGTCAATAAAAGTATGCCACACTTTTACGCTTCATATTTTAATCAACTGAATCACCTTTAGATTTAATATTTATTATAATTTTATGAGATTTATTCGATTAAAACTGACTATGACTTTAGACTTATGACTAAAATTAAATCAAAATTTGCACTGGTTGCTGAAGAACATAATTGGACTGGAGCCGATCCGCTTGCGCTAGCTAGCTTAGTTAGCATACCTTGCTAACTAAGCTAGCTAGCTGTTCACTTTTAATATAAACCCTTCAAAGAAAATTTGGTTGCACAGTATTAATGTCCTCTGCTTAAGGTTTTAAAATTCATAATGCTACTGTAAAACAATATATTTGCAGTGATGCTACAAAACAAAAATCACTGGCTAATGAATTATAGCTCACAAGTTGTTAGTCAGCAAGCACACCTTGGCTAATCCTCCTTTCTGGAACTTGGTATGACAAATGTTTACTTAAGTTTTTAATTCAAATGAGTGACTGAGTCCATAAAGTCAACAGGAGAGTGTTTAAAGAGGTCAAGAAAGAGACATTTTCCCTTAAATATATGTAGGATTGGAATTATTTTTTGTACCTGTATTGCCCCCTGGTGACTATTAAAAAGAGTACAGGCTAAGTTACTTCTACATTGGCTTCACTCTTTAAACCCTGAGGCTTTGTACTGTTTACAGTTACACATTAACCAGTATGTAATGCAGCAAACAAAGTCGACATTGTGTAATGTATTTTTAGGGAATTCGGTTTTCACTGAAAGTGAATACTTCCTGGAACGGGCAGCTCTGTTGAATTCCATTTATGACAAAATGATTAAGAAACCCACATTCGCAGTAAAAGGAGTACACTCTTACAGGAAACAAATTAAAAAAATCAAAGTCTTTGTCATCTGCTGGTGACTGATGACATAAATTCATCTTTTTTTAACTTTTTTTTTTACAAAGTCATATAATGAAGTAATTCATTATATATAATGAAGTAATTCATTATATGACTTCCCTTTAACCTGACTTCTTCTGAAACCACATACTGTGTCATACTTTGTGTTTGCGATGGGCACATCCATCTTTTATATACAGTCTATGGAAAAGACCAAAACAGAGTCAAAATGAAAATGTTTTGTCCCAAAGGTATAGATGCAGCTTTAAATCGCACGAAAGTTGATTAGGTATCTTTATATTATTTCACAAAATTCTATATTTTTATCCTGCCAACTTAATTTCAAAGAACAATTTCAGACTATGGTTGGGTAATAATTTAAAGTGAAATTAAAGTAACCTGAAATGGGTTCATGGGATGGTTAAGACAAAGTTCAAACACTGACGATTCTGAGAAAGATGAATCCAGCTGAAAACATCTTAAATAAAACAGAGATCCAGGTTAAAGCATCACACCTATAAAAATACATTTCTTACTTTTAGTCTGGTGAATTAGGCTCCAGCCCCCCTGTGACTCTGAATTGGATAGGTGGAAGAAAATGCAAGGATGGTTGGATAGTATGGTGAATTAAAAAAAAGTCTGCATGCAAAGCTAGAAGCAAGCTTTATTTAGATCGAGCAGTCATAGTGTAGATGTATGAATCATGTTTTTGGAGAACTGGGTATCAGGTTTTGGGTAATCTTAAGTATCCAGGCCTTCCTCCTTGTCAGGCTGACAGAAGTCTGGAGAAAATCTAAGCAAAAGGAAAAAAAAGAGAAAGAAAAAGTCATGAAATCCCGAGACAGTGCGCTTGGGTTACACATGAATACTCCAGAAACAAGTTCTCCCTGTGCTGACCTGTTCATGAGAGATCATCTTCTCTGTCCAATCAGGTGTTGTTCAACGAGCAGCAGTCTCAGTACGTGAAGCTGGACGTGGTGACCCTTGGCTTGAGGGCTCAGAAGCTGCAATGCATGGAAGGCTACGGGACAACCCCCTCTGCCGGGCCGCACCCTTTCCACTTCCTGAAGCCCTGCCAGGTGTCCGGCCTCCTGCGACTGGACAAAGGCACGGAGCTGCAGGCCATTACGGGCCCGTCCTTCAGACTCCACAGCGTAGGCAATCCCTCCGCCTCGCCTCACGTCTTTAGCATCTTTAAAGTTAACTGAAGCGCACTGTGGAAACTTTTTGTTTTTTTTGGTTTGTTTGTTTTAACGAGTAAACAGACTCATCAGAGAACTAACTTGTTTTTGTGCGGACAAGATTGTTTTCTAAATGGTGAAACTGTCATAAGCGGTCAGGGCATCGCTTAATGCTACGGCTTCTTCCCAAAGACGTTAATTTGAAAGACAAACCCTGACATTTGGGGAAGCTGTTGTGGATTTTTTTTTCCTCTGGACTGCAGAGCTGTTTTGGAACGCAGATTTTTGGAATAAAACCAAGGCCCGCAGTGAATGTCTGCCGAGGGAACAGATGTGATGGGAGCTGTTCTGTAGATAAAGGGCTTCATATAAAAAAGAAGAAGCAGAAGAAAACTCCTTGGATGTTCATCTTAGCCTGTGTATTACGCTATAAATTGTGCTTAAACTCTTTATAAGACTATGAGTAAAGCTGTGCATGCACCTTCCACTTCCACAGCTGAGAGCACATCTGCAAGCGGCCTACACGAGTTGTCATATATTTTATACAATGTAGCGTCAGTGTGTATGAAATCTTACAAATCAATTTTTTTCTGTTTATACTGATTTTATAATATCAATGCAAGCATTTTCTTTAAATACTTTGGATATATTTTACACACATTTTACATTTTATTAAGGAGATGGTTTGGGCGGTGTTTTAAATACCATGGATGTGAATTTGTTATCTTTTGTAAGGTTAAAACAATTGTTTGTATACTTTGTTGTGCAAGTTATACCGAGCGAAACATAGAGCTTTAAATATAGCTTGTCCTTACTCCCTCTTCTTCACCTGATTGATGACCATTTTTCGAGAAATAACCTGATAAAACTGTTAATTATTCAGCCAAAATACAGATAAAGCTGTATTATAAATGAAGTTAATACATTTTCCTTTTTCTTCCATCACGTTGGCAAAGTATAGATGCTTATGTAAGTTATTCACAAAGAACTAACAGAAAGAACATCACAAAAATGAAATGCACTGCCATGAAATTGGTACACGCTTTCATGCACCCCTGAGCGAATTCATATAAAAACAGCTGTTTCCTGTCAGCCTCAGCTGGATGTTTTTGTTTTGCAGTCATTGTTGTGGCTGATGATGGGTCTTTAATGGTCGACTGCGCATGTAGGCACGATCGGTTCACGTACAGCAAACTCGGTGTTATCTTATTTGGCAGAAATCTATGCATTTTCTGTTCTTTGTGACCATTTGAAAAGCTTTCATTAATCCAATTCTGGGTCACATCGGTGCTGGAGCCAATCCCAGTTGCCATAGGGTAGGGGTGAGATAAGTGGGCCCGAAAAAACTAACAAAGAAATTGTATTTGCGTGACTAAAACCCAAATTTTCAACAGATAATCTTATTACACTTAGTGATTTCCTTTAAATGTGACTGAAACCTCTTAGAAGGAGATCCAAATACTTTCATGCCTGATCCTCTGTCATGGATATTAACACCTCTCAAATGAACCTGCTCATGTTAGTAAAACATTTTCTACTTTTATTGAAGCTGCTACCCTGCACCTGAACACATGGAGCTTCACAAAGTCATCTCCAAGTTACAAAATAGATTATTAAACCCTTCTGCTAATCAGCCCTCTCAATGCGGTAAACAGTGTGCAACATTAGCACTGCTGATTGCAGACCAGTGACGCCCAACCAGAGATTCTTGTACACCAGGATATAACTCTGCAGTTTCAGAGAGCTAACAGAAAGCCATTTTCTTACCAAGTTTGGCATTGTAGGAGCGCTGTGAGAGGAGATGCACACCTTGGACACCTCTCTCTACACAGAAAAGCCCCATGCACAGTCTGATATCCTCGTGTCAGTGTTGTTCCTACATCATCATAATAACGCTGGCCCAGGATCAGCATTGCACCCAACCAGTGACGTTGTCTGAGTTAGTTAGCATTCCGTTAGCATTAGCCAAAAAGTTAGCTAAGTTAGCAAACCAAGATAAATAAACTAAATTTGGCTAACAGCAAAACAAACCTGATAATATGTTTGTTATATTTTATAAATGAACAAAGAAAACACTTGAAATGCTGACCATAGAAGAGAGGTTTATTTTAACAAAGGTATGGTTTTACTTTTTTCTCCATATTTTAAAGTTATGCGATCACAACAACGTGCTTGGTCAGTTGCAATTTTGATACTGGACTGACATCATTATGATAATGCAGTGAGAACACCAACACAGGGATATCAGACACGCCAGCCTCCTGGCAGATTCAAACCCAGACGCTTCTTGTTGTAAGGTAACAGTGCTAACCTTTGCACCACCATGCAAGCCCTAACTAATCTAATACATAAGTTAAATGCTAATAGGTTCAAAAAGTTAGCTGGTACTGAAACGAAGAGCCAATGAAAGTTTATATCAAAAGGAAAGAAGCATCGGGACAAAGTTAAAACATGAAAGAGTAGCGATGAGGCTGCTGCTAAGGGCTAAGCTAAAGGACCCACGACAGCAAAAATATGAACAAAAGCAACCACATATGTTACTTCACATTTATCAGTTTTGTATTTTAACTAGTTAGTAAATGGTTAAAACAGATACCTAAAAGTAAGAAATAGTGAACTGAAAGTTATGGATTAACAGTAGAGGGTAAATACCAATGGGCTATATTGTGAGTGTTAAATAGCTAAAATTAAGTATAAATTAAGGAAAGGAAATTAATGTCATTTATCCATTTATGCAATGGATAAATGACTTCATCACCCACAGTATGCGTTAATATTGTAGTATCAGGGTCAGAATTTAACAAACTGGCCCTAAAAACGGACCCTTTATTGTATAAAATTATTTATAACAAAGGCAACCAGTGAAAGGGTTACCAGAGCTCATCTGGGCACTGTGGGTATGCATGGGTCTGACAAAAACGACTGAGAGTCATTGCTGTAGTCTGTCCTTTTACCCTTTTGTGGCTTCATTTTTATTACAGTGAATTTATAAAAGCCAGATATTAAATCAGTTGTGTGACACCAAAAGCAGAACTCTGCAGAAACATGGAAAAGATCCAACATCAATTTTCAAGGGAGTCGTTCCAGGTTAACCTCGGAAAAAAAGGAAAAAAAAAAGGGAGTTCTGGTTATTTGGTGTCTGACTGCAAAAGAGAGGTGAATGGTGTCATACTGAAAGTTACATTTAAGAGTTCAGTTTAATATCTAAAAGCTTTTAGTTTTGGGTTTGTTTTACTTTTATATCCTTCTGGAAATATAACTCCTTCCATTCTCTCATACGCTGCTGGTTTCCGTAATATTCCTTGCTACAATGCAAACAGTGTGTATTTCTAGCCGTGGGTTTCTGCACTCCCACTCTTGTTTATAAGTAGTTTTTGTGGATGGACCACATTGGTTTCTCCTCAGCACTTTACTGCAGCGATCGCAGCGTTTTTAATTGGAACCAAACATTTATGTTTTGAAATGGAAAAAAACGTCCGATTCTGCAGTGCAGACGATATATCCTGTTTGATTTCCTCATCATTTTCCTCTTTCCTCTTTATGTCTCAGTCACCCCCCCCCCCCCCCCACATCCCTGTGCACCTCATACTTCCCTGTCAGCACCAATCAGACTACACACACACACCCACACACACACACCAACAACCCTCTAAATTTTCACTTCCTGAATCTGAACCTGAACCACATAGCTTAAAGTCTTTGAGGAAAAACATGCCTCATCCCACCCCCGCCACCACAAACACACACACACAACACACACACGAACACTTCCCTGCCCCAATTCCTTTTTCTCTAAATGTCAAAGTTTATCGCCATCTTGGAAAATTCTGTAATGTTGTGAAGACGTTCTCTGTAAAATGATGATGTATGCATTGCCTAAACATTGTTAAGTTTCCACACACTTTGTTCACACTTTGAAATAAACCTTCCTTACTGTTTTTGAAAGGCTCAATTTCTTTTAAGAAAGATACTCAAAAATAGGTTAATGGGAAGCATAAAACAGCTAACAACGCATAAGCCAATTTAGAACCATTATCCTGCTCAGCCTTGAATATTGGAGAGGAGAATGACTCCATACATGATGGAAAATGGATATGTGAACACCTTGATCCAAAAGAGAGGCTTTCCATGCTTCACGGGATGCCTGGAACACAGAGGAGTCCTAGGCCAGATGACACACAAAGCCAGGTCAAAGAAAAGCAACCTGACAGTAGTGTGGCTGGACTTGGCTGGACTTTGTAGACATTCCTCACAATCTCGTCAGAATAGCCATAAAATATTACCACGTCCCAGACCGCATCAAGGGAATGATCTGTAGCTACCTGCGAGTGATCAAGCTCCGCTTCAAGACCACAAACTACATCACCCAGTGGCAGCACCACGAGAAAACGATTGTCACTGGTTATGCAGTCTCCCCAAGCCTATCATCCTGGTATGAACCTCACGATGACAGCAGTGGAAGATGTAACCAGAGACTTGGCAAAGAACTGAAGCATCTGATAACCAGTGATAAAGGACTTCGTGGATGACCTTATAATCACAACATCTTCCCATGTGCAGGCAAAATTGGTCCTAACCAAGCTTGATGAGGTGGCAACTCAGACTACGATGACTAAGGGACAGCAGCAACATCCACAATACTGAAGAGAAAGCATAGGGGTGGTTGAAGACTACTGAAAAATCTGGGCTCCTGGGGAAGTTTCAGACATGGCTGTACCAACGAGGCTTGCTTCCAAGGTTGATGTGGTTTCTGATAGTGTATAAAGTCCAGCTTACAGCAGTGGAAGGAGTGGAACGAAAGATCAATGAGCACCTAAGAAGCTGGTTCCAAGTTTTACTCCAGTCGGGCTCTACATCTGGGCAACTACAACTACTCTGTCATCTCTCATTGAAGAGTTCAAAGTGGTTGCCTTCATCTTCAGAGATTCAAGAGACAACAAGGTCAGAGAAGTAGGTTAAAAACTACATCAGGACAAGAGTGGAAGGACTCTAAATCACTGGTCCTAGAGAAAGGAATCTTTAAAATCCAACTTTACTCGAGCACCCTGTGCAGAATGAAGTCTGGGCATCACATGCTTCCAAAAATCTGGAAAAGTTTAACTTAACAAAGAGGAAAACCATGATCCAGGCAGAAATGAGAAATATGGAGGAGTACCAGAGGAAGTTAAGAGCAGTCAAGCTTACCTCCCAGGGCTCAGCGGCAACGTGGGTCGATCAACCCCAAGAGGAAGGTGACTTGGTGTCATGGTCCAGGAGAGTGGCTGTGGTTTTTCCACGTTTCCACTGAGTTCCACCTCTGGGCGGAGCCCTCATCCACACGCCTGTCATGCTTATCTGTCTGTGATCACTAATGTAATCAGCAACAGTATTTAAGACCAGCGCATGCAACTTTTCTTCACCAGTTCGTCTCATAATCTACGTTAGTATTAGGCCTCCTTTGCATCTTGTGATTTCTCTTGTTCATGCTAACTTATCCTGTTCTCCTTGTGTTTCTAGTAACTTCTTGGATTCACCATACTCCTCATTCGCACTTCTTTTCACTCACCTGGACGCTGGTCATCTCTGGAAACGCTAACCGCTGGTTCATAATCACAGGATCACCTTTCCTTACTTGCCTGCCCTCCTGCCACTGGATTCCCCTTTCCTGGACCATTCAGGTTGGATTCTGGACTCTCATCTGTCTGGACACTCACCCGCCCAGTATTGCTTTTTCTAGGCACCCTGCACTTGCTAGCAAAAGACTCTTGTTCAAGTTCCATGCCGCACACGATTCCTGACCCTTGTTCGAGTTCCACGCGCCACCCACAATTCCTGTGTGTACTGTTTTCACTTGTGTTTAGTAAATAAAGTCCAGTTAAGGTTGATCCCATTGTCCTATTCTGAGTCTGCATTTGGGCTCTTTGACACTTGGGTTGA